CAAGGTAAAAGAAATAAATTAAATTTTTGACAAATGTCGAATTAAAGCCTTTCAAAACTTCTCACCATGAAAGTGCGGCTTCCTCGATAACTCTCGTCGGCTAGCTGGCCTGCTCGCCTAAGGTATGTTCTGCCTTAGAATGATCCTGATGTGCTTGGATTTGCGTGTGTACATGTAACGCTTCCGAAAATAGTTGTCGGCATTACATATTTCCTTGTTTAAACGAAAGTTTGAAAAGTGAAGAAGGGATTTAGAGAATGAAAAACGATCATTTAATCCAGAAAACGGTTACTGGAGACTCCGAATATGGCCAGTGTTCTGAAGTATGCCGTAGCCAAAAACGTCGAGAAATGGCGTCGGAGAAACCTTATAGCCGTCGTCCGGTGCTGACAGTTTTATCGGCGGTTGACTCATGACAAAAGTCCCAAATGGCGATCCGGTGGCCGAGATCGCTAAGTAGCGATCTCGGACTGAAGGATCGCGGGTTCGCGCATGGTTGTATTGTGTTTGTCCTCTCACTCCCTATCATCATTATATGGTGTCATCCTCACAGTTACCAGCAATAGTAACTGTTACAAGCAATAGTAATCGCTAATGACCTAGAAGGTGATGCGATCTTAAATAACAAAAAAAAAAAAGTCCCAAATGCAGCGTTTGTTGGATTCCGTGAGGACCAGAGCAGCAGTTCTCTTCGCTTAATATGGCAAAATCATCATATCATTTTTAATTATTTTAATTTTTGTGTGTACTTTATCATTTAATAGTGGCGAATGCTGTGGCAGGACGGTGTTTTACAAAACATATGAGAGGTAACCCATTAATACGGGTTGAAAAATATGTAGTTTTCAGTGTGTTTTCTTGTGTGAGTGAAGAAAATTCGTCATTGGCCGTTAAACAGTTTTCCGAACGCACATCATGAACCACGGGAGTGTTTTCGTCAAGTGTATAATGAATGCACGAAGTAGGCACAGAGAACTTGTCACTCCACGGAAATAATCAATTTTAGTGTTGAACCCCTTCCGGACGCGTTTGCAATGAGAAGTGTCGATAGTGAAACGGGATGCTGGAAATCGGAGATTTATTGTTATCACAGGTGGGACTGCTGTTGCCACGTACGCTTCTGACAGTTGGTGTACACGCGTTCTTTAAAGGAGGTGCCTAGAGCAATTGGCCAATGAGGTTAGTCTGAACTTAGGCTGAACAAAGATTATTTTCACAAGCTCTCTGATCTCTTTACTCCGCTCGGCTGTCTGCGTCTGTGGCTTCGCATTTTCCTCTTTCGAGACGAAGGTGGAAACACATGGGGGAGTCCTTCCGGCGCACTGGTTTTCGCTCGTTCAGTGCAACACCAGTTTGCTTCATGAACCACGTGACCACAGCACGGGCACTTCGTTTGAACAGCATGAAGACAAGACCATGATGCCTAGAGAGCGAGAAGTATTGAGAAACATTTCGAAAGTGCTACAAAGTGACAGTTTTAAACAATGAACAACCTAAAATAACACGATGAAGGTGTAAAATATGCAATATTTAAAAGAAATGCTTCTTAAATGTGACTTGTGACAAGGTGGTGATTGTTTTGGGATCTGGCTGTATTTGAAATTCCCGCTGATGTTGTGACGCCAACTGGGTTCGGGAGCGGAAGTGCGCAAGAGCGGTTCGCAAGAGCCCGAGCCACGCGTGACGGAGGGGCGTCAGTCGCCGCAATGCCCTGGCCCCGTGCGCTGCTCTTGTTGGCGCTGCTGAGGGCGGGCGGCGCGAGCGGCGCGAGCGGCGCGGGCGGTCTGTTCCCGCTGTCGGTGGTGCACATCAACGACTTCCACGCGCGCTTCGAGCAGACGCGCCCCTCCGGCGCCGCCTGCCCTCCAGGTACGCCCATCAACACTAATAATAATAATAATAATAATAATAACAACAACATTAATAACAATACGAATAACAACAATAATAATAACATTAATAACAATACGAATAACAACAATAATAATAACAATAATGCCGATCAGATGGACGAGATCGCTAAGGCAGTAGCGCCGTAGTGATTTCGGACCAGAATATCGCGGGTTCGAGTCCCGCCTCGGGCATGGGTGTATTTGTGTACGTATGAGTATGGCGTCCTTTCACCCCTCATTATCATCATCATTTCATCTTCCATATCCACAGGGCTAACAACCCTGCGGGGCTAAATGTTGCACCGATTTAAGTTACGCGCACCTGCCACCGCGATAATGATACTGAGCCACGGTAAATACAGGATGCATACGTGGTCCTAGTCGGCCGGTGAGCCTACTGGTCTGTTCCGTCTTCAACAGTATCCCTCCGTCTTATTGGGCGGCCCCTACTTCTCCTCCTGTTCGGGTTGTGGTGGATTTTTGGCATTCGATCTTCCGGCTTTTTCGTTAAATGATCATGCCAAATCTTTCTTAGTATGACTGTTTTTTTCAGTTAGGTAGGTTGAAGAGCTTTAATTCGTCTTTGATGTTGGAGTTTCTTTTATGGTCCAGTACTGAATAGTCCTCTAAGGGTCTAAGAAATCTCATTTCCGAGGCTTCAATCTTTCTCTTATCTGCTCTACTGAGGTCCCAATTTTCACATCCGTAGGTGTTACCATTGTTTTATAAAATTAGTGTCTCTGCGTGCTGTATGTGTGAGAGTCTTTCGTATAGTTCCGCACATTGTCTGAAATTTATGAATGTTTATATTATTATCTTTTTTGGCAGTAAGAAAAATTGCAACTGAGGTTGTTGAAATTATTTACTTGTTCAAAGCCGTTACCATTAATCACTACTTTACACTTTAAATGATTTTTACCCTGGAATGCAATGGCTTTTGTTTCCATTGAGAAAATATGTAGGATATACTTTTCGCTTATTCCCTGAAGTTGATGGGCAACTATGCGGAGATTATCCTCTGAGATGCTAAAAGTTATCTGGTCATCTGCGAATAAAAATGTATTTAAAAGCTTTTTATTAAAGAAAGAAAAAATTGAGATAGAAAATAAAATGATAGAGAAAGAATAATAAGTATTGGAAATGGACAAGAGGGGTAGGAAGATATGATACTAAAAAGGATATACGGAATAAAGGAGAGAACACACAGTACACATTGCATGCGTGCATTTTATACGATATGCAGCTTCCATTGTTGCTTAGCTTCACTTCAAGTCAAGAAATCACAGTGATCGAAATGAGGTAATCAGTGAATTAATTAGGTTTACGCGTTTGTTTTTAGATAGTAGTTCAGGTATGCGTTTCAGAGAATGAATGACTTTGAAGACGTTTTGTAAATCTTACCTATTTGCGTAATCTTGCTAAAAGTGTTGTCTATGTGAAATCGTAGATTCTTTACATTGTTACACCAAGGAAACGTGGACCAATTAATTTCATTCGTTGATGACGTTGTGGGCGCTTATCAGTAAAGTTTGGGATTTTATTGCGTCTATTAAAAGTCCTGGGACTCGTGGCGGCCCCGGCTTTCATTCCCGGTCGAGCCAAGATTATAGGGGGCGTTTTCCTTGCAATGTACCAGTATATGTTGTTGTATGACGACGAAAAAATTCACTTCTCAGGTTGAGAAGACCGGAATACTCTTAACCCTTGGCCACCGACGCCAGGGACCGTGGCCAGGGACGTCACCGGTAGGCCTGAGCCTGTTCACGGGCTGCCGCGCCAACTACATACATACGATAAAAGTCCTGGCGCTCCGGTATTTTATTGAGAGCTTTTAGCTCTTCATTTATATCGTAAACTAGAGAGTTTAGCTCCAACGAGTATCCGCTGACAGAGAGATTAACATTTTATACACATATTTCGGTTCATTGATTGATAGTGATTCCAGATACGTAAACGGCTAAGGCCATTAGTCTTGTAAATGTAATACATGTGTTACCTCGGGAGGTGTCGGTGATCTGGATGGAAATATCCGGCGCCAACCAACAATCGGCTAGCAGTGTTTCCCCCAACCAGGTATCACCCACCAGCGGGGCACCACCCCAGTCGGGACGAGCTTTAAGCTCCCAACCGGTATTCCGGCATATGTAGTAGTATAGTGCATGTTAGTGTAAGTGTGCGTAAGGGGTGAGAAAAAGACAAGGCAGAGGGAGGAAAGATGGCGCACGACCCACTTGTTAGAGTTCTGCTTCGGCACTCGCCTGGTGATGAAAAATCCACGGAAAACTACCGATCAGTGCAGCCGGCCGCTAGAATTGTTCTCCAGACAACGCATGAATTCGATCTAACCGACTAGCTAGTGTCGAAAATCCTGCCACCTTCGCGAGTGTAACTACATTTTCCGGTCATACATTTCGAAGGTGGCAATATTTAATACATTTTGTCTCGACAGTTACTTTACTGTTAGTAAATTGAATAGTTTATTTGAGAAACACGCCAAATGCCAAACGTTTCGTTTCCAGAAAACAAAAGGTGTCCTCGCAGTGCCTGATGTTGCCTGAGGAATTAGGGTTTGGTGATGCCTAACGTATTAGGGTTTGGTGGTGCCTAACGTATTAGGGTTTGGTGGTGCTTGTTGAATTAGGGTTCGAAGGAGCGCGGTTCCGCATACGCGATGGAAGTACTAAATACGACTCATTACAGAATCGCGTCTCCACAATTGAAGATTTTCCGCAGAAAACAGCAGTTTTTGCCATAGCATGACGTACCTCCCTACGTAAGTAGTATGTGAGAAGTTGAAAATGAAGAGCAATTACTTTAATTCGCAAAGAAACTGCTATAAGTGGTGACAACTTGTCTTATCCCTTTAGACCCTGACTTTTGAAAGAAATTAGGTCTTATAATCCTGAGAAATATTTTTCTTTGTCTGCCTTACTCAAAGATAAAATCGTGAAACGCAAGTTCGTTCAAGAAAGAAACCATTCTACTGATTTTCATCGACCAACACGAACGACGTGTTGCGGTCTGAACGCGAAGAAAGAACGCATTTATGAGAAAAAAAAAGAAAAACCGTGACCTGCTCAATTGTGTGGGTTGGGTGTGCGTGCGCAGGCAAGGAGGCGACGTGCGTGGGCGGGATTGCGCGCGTGGTGGCGATGGCGCGGCAGCTGCTGCGCGAGCGGCCCCACCCGCTGCTGCTCAACGCCGGCGACAACTTCCAGGGCACCGTGTGGTTCACCGTCTACGGCTGGAACATCACTGCGCAGTTCCTCAACCGGCTGCCCTGGGACGCCGTCGTGAGTTCTTGCGCTATACAGCTATTTTTATAATAATGGACCGTTTTGACTGCTAGTGCTGGCAAAGTAACAAGGTTCTGCGGTCGTTGTGTCCTTCAGCCCAGTGCACTCTCCTCCTTCCATTCCTTCTTTTGCAGTTGCCTAACTTGTAAATGGCTTCGACGCTCCCTTTTCTGATGTTCTCGTCCGATGAAAATATAGTTCGCCACGAGAAATAATTGAAATTAAGAAGTGCAGTGCTACTGTGCTCTTTTGTAAAAATATTTTTGAATAAAAATTACATTTAATTTACTTTTTGTGTGATACGTATTGTGTTAATTTGAAAACCAAGTCTTGAATGTCAGACGCATTCTTGCGCACGAGTTTCTCGCTCCTGTGCGGTAAAATGGCGGCTGTGATCGAGCATATTCCCTGGTTTGCGTTTTAACAATTTTTAAAAATATAACTACGCGGTTGTGGACGATTAGAAGCCATTCGTATGATTAGATGCCGTGTCTTAACTGGAGCGATGTGCAAACATAAACACTTTACGAAAAGGCGCGGCTGAACAGCTGTCGCGGCGGAGGGATACTTCTCTTTCATGAGATGTTCACTTATTTAGCGACCTGTCATTTTGGCTCATTCTTCTATAAGTGGCGTTTGTAGAAAAGGGTGTCGATTGGCAACGGGATTCCCTTGAACCGTCCTCCTACGCGACCCAGAATCGTTTCTTGCGTGTCACCTTCTCCGGCTGATGACCGTCCCAGTCAACAATATTTGCTCAGCAGATTGCAAATACTCGTTCGGTCACGATATTTCCGAAGGAATCTAATTTTTTCGGGGACTTGCAGCGGTTGGTTTACATGTCTAGAAGCAGACACGGCACCCGGAGTATATTCCCCATTCAGAAATCTATCATCCCACACCTGTCCATTTGCGGTCGCATGTTCTTCGTGTAAGTGTGTATTTTTCAGTGATACGTTGTAGTTTGAGATTTGTAGACTTCGATACGGAGTTCGATATCCGCTTCATAACGAAATCGATATGTGTGTGAGAATAACATAACCTCTATCGAAAGGACCGTGGGTACGAGGAAAATACGAAAACAGTTGAATGATGCTACATGTGCCCTTATAGGGGGAATTATGAATGGGAATTATGGGAAGGAAATATGAAAAGACAATCCGAGACAAGCTAGCATCTAGTTAATTATAAAATAAGTAAATTGCAATAAATACAATCAGATAAAAGATTAAATTATGTACCACGGGCGTCAACTAGTTCTAATGATCACGGGCGGACAAAACGTGTCGCCAATCGGTCATTAGAAATCTTATAACTACCTTGGTGTATTAATAACTATTGTGTCAAAGAGGTTGTCCGCGTTGTCTAGATTTTATTTTATCCCCTTCCCGCCCGCCTCCCGCCCACCCCGCCAGCCCCACAGTTCTCGATGCATTGCGAGTTGCTTATCATCGAGTTCTTAAGTGTCTTCCTCCAAAAGAACTTGAATCAGACCTAAGGTAGCTGTCTACCTGAGAAAAAAATTCTGGAATTTTGGGAATCTTTTGTTTTCCCTTCTCCATTAGGTTTTTAGATAATTTTAGAGATCAAATAATGAAACAATTGTTTTTCCTAATAGTTTATAAATAATTGGTAAAATGCAGGATTTTACTTCAGATATAACAACAAGCTGATATATTTTGATAATTTATTAAAAAAATTAATTTTAATTGAATATTCTAGTGAAAGTACTAGAATGGGGAAGGTACAGTGAAAACAAGAGAGTCTGGATTTGATTATTTGAGAAAAATAAGTGTTTATAAATTTATTCTGGAAATTTAAGTTCATATAACGAACATTATTAGTGATATATTATCTATTCTAGTTTGTTCACTAGAGCAAATCATGGAATACATGCTGAAAAAATAATTATATTATTATCTTTAATAGTTTATTATTTACGATGTTTGACATGCATGATGTACTGAAAATTCCCAAATCGGGAAAATGCATTTGGTTTCATTCACTAAGGGCTTGCCAATTGACACTCGCTTCGAAAAAATATCTCTCAAAACTCTTATTTTCTCAAAACTAAGAAACGTAGACACTAACAGTTTAAATCATTAAAAATAAAATAACACAGGACATACGACCCAATAAAAATTGAAAAACACAAAATTTCACGAGTTTATTGAGTTTTCATCATTCTTAGGTAGACAGAGACCTTAATATTATGGGCAGAGATGTGCCGAAGACTATAATTTTATGTCTACTCGTTTTTCTACACGTAATCTACATGTAGCCTACATGACTATTTTACATGTATACTATGTTGACAAATTTAATCTATATACACTATTTATTTTTTCACATCAAATAACCCCAAAACGTTTATAATAAGTAGTACAAGTAGAGGCATGTGGAAATGTAATATTTAAAAAAATATTTTTGATTCACTAAGTAAAAAAAAAAAAAATCCATTCCGTGATGAACCTCCGTAACCATCTCAAGAAACCAGTAGAGACTTTTTTCAACTTGCATATCAGACCAATATGCATCCGACTCTTTCCCACCAAGTGCAGTGTGACTAACCCGCGCAGAAATATTGTGCAGATCCTTGATAATGTCGCTAACTCTCCGCCCCCACCGCAAGAGACGGACCCAATAAGTATTTCAATCGGGAGGAAGACAATTCACGTCATGACTGTTACCTGCCCCATTAGTAGGTATTTTTAAATCAAAACAATCTTAACTTGAAATGTAAAAGAAAAACAACTAAAAATAACGTTTATTCATAATGAGAGTACTCCTGTGGATGTGATCCCATCAATTTGTAGTATGCTTTGGATACATTGAATATAATTACAAATAAATGTTGGCTTTGGGGGTGGAATATGACTCTCGCAGATTCTCCCCTGCCCCCAAAAAAACATAGATTATCGTTGTCTACATAGATTACCTTCGTCTGGACAGTGTACGTTGTCTACGCGTTGTTTACGTGTAGACGTAGACTGTGGTTCTTTACGCACATCACTGATTGTGCGAAGTGAATTTGGTTGGCGTTGGCGGGCAGAGTGAACGGTATGGGCGGGGCGAGTTCAGCGGAAGGGCAGGAGGCGAGGCGGGAAGGGAGTCAATAAAATCTCGAGCAACGTGGGCAACCTCCTTGACACAAACACATAAATGAAGAACATGCGACCATATCTGAGCTGGTTTGCGTATTGTTGCGATTTTCCTCAACACAATGATCCCACAACAGCGTATGCACACATGAGAGCCCGCGATCGTTTGTACAGCCGAGAACAAATGCAGCTGCAGCTGTTTTGCCTCTCACCGAACGTCGCTGTCCGTTGGCCTCTCTCTTGAGGTAATTTCAATAAGAACTCTTCAAGTCGAACACAAAGCAAATATGTTATTCGTGAATTCATATATCCAGAATCAATCGGCAATCAGAATCAATCGGCCTTCTTCACTACCTTCTTCATTGTTTCTTACTTTATTACCACTTATGAAAAGTCTTATTATCTTCCCCAAAATTTCGCAAAATCCGTAATTGAGTTTTAAAATCCGAATTCCATACTGATATTTCCGGCCTACATTCAGTCTCTCCCAACAAACCTAGCGTCCGTGGTACCGAGCGCACCACCCTTTCACGAGTTCAGCCAACTCGTATCACCGCGTATATGGTGATGGCGCCACTTGCACAGGTGCTGGGCAACCACGAATTCGACCGGAAGGTGGCCGGGGCCGTGTCGTTCGTGCAGGCCCTGCACGCGCCCGTTGTCGTCGCCAACATGGTGGCCACCAAGGAGCCCTCGATGCACGGCCTCTACCGCTCGTCGGTTGTGGTGCAGCGCGCAGGGCGACAGATCGGCATCATCGGAATCATCACTTCCGACACCAACGTAAGACGTGATTGATTGATTGATTGATTGTCAGAGTGATTACGGGTGCGGCAACTACCAGGGTCACTAGCCCCGTAAGTGTAGTTCATGTTTTTGCTCGGGAGGTGGCGGTGGTCTTCCCTCGCTGTATGGCCAGATCCGACGCCGACCTACAACGGGCTAGCGGAGTTTTCCCCGCCCAGTTATCTCCCCCAGCGGGGCACCTCCCCAGCCTGGACAAGCTCTAAATTCCCGACCGGTCTCTCGGCAGGTGTGGTATTGTAGTGCATGTTAGTGTAAGGGGTGAGGATAGGAGAAAGAAGAGGAAGGAAAGATGGCGGGCGGCCCATGGCCCGCTTGTTAGGGTACTGCTTCGGAATTCTGGTGGGGAAAAAAACACGGAAAACTACCGATCAGTGCAGTTGGTCGCTAGAATTCGCCTCCAGATAGCGACCTAGCTTACAAGCTAATGTCGAAAATCCTGCCACCGTCGGGACTTGAACCTAGGACCCCCCGGTAAGAGCTGAGGGACTGCAGCGGTGGTGCCATGAGCCATTTCTCTCTGTCTGAACGCTTGGAAATATGTCTGGCAGTGAGGAGTGCACATTGGGTTCGGTATTTGAAATATTACAGACATTAATTTTGTGTTTATACGAAAGGATACGACACATTTTTACATGTAGTTTTTAGCATTTTTGTAGATTTTGACTAATAAACCAGTTTTTAAATTTGGTAATTTTTAATGCATTTTTGCTGATTTCATTGATGTTAAAACGACGGCTGGTATGATTTAAATCATTGATTTAAATTATAATTTAAATCAAACGATTTAAAAAATCAATCATTTAACTCAATATTTATTATTTGTAATATTTGAAAATATATTTGTCTTTTAAATATGTTACATAAAAATACTCAGATAAAAAATACTTTTTCAATTAACTGATATACTTTGAGAAAATAAAATCCAATATACGAGTAATATACAAAAACATAAACAAACTTATGAAACGAAGAACAGTAAACAATTTGTAGTATAGCTAAATAGTAATAGACATAGATGGACGTTTAGATTTTATACACAATTTAATTGCCTCTTGATAAAAACTAATTTAGCATCTACATCGCCCTAACACACACCGAGCTAGTTTCGAGAAAAACACGTTTAAATCTTTAAGGGTATCCATAATACGGGAACGAAAATGTCTAGTTTTTCAAATGTTGGTTATCTCATGCTTTAAAAAAATTAAATTTATTTTTAACTTTTATTCATTTTCAACTATTTATATTTAAATGATGAGAAGCGATTCTGGAACTCAAGAAAACGTGCGCAGATGATCTTCTCCCCCATGCGTCACATACAGCTTTTACTGTTTTTTGACTAAATAAATCTAAATCTACACATCGAAATAATTCTAGATTTGTAATAAAATGTTTGCTAAAGCCACTTGAAGTGATTTATTTAATTTAATTACTTTAAAAGCAGAAAAAGGTTTATTAAAACACCCGTAATGAAATTTATGAATAAATTGTTATTTTTTTAAAACGATGCTATATATTTGAGGGATACCGTATAATACCGACCTAACCCTCAAAATCTTATAATAACTACAAACGTCTTACAAATATTGCTTTGTACTAGTCAATGCTTAGTACTCGCACCAGTACAAGCACTTAGTACTCACAATAACTTGCTACAAGCAAAATATAGTATGTTATAATGTCAAAAGTTGTCGTTACTGCCCCGACAGCCTGTTTGCTTAGTGTTAAATGCTTGCTTACGAATCAGCTGTTTATTCAATGGTGAATTCTTTTAAAGTAATCACTAGTTTTACTACTAGAGTAGAGCCTCAGGTCTTGCCACCGTCTGGCTCCCCCTTGAGGGGGGCCTGTGCCTTGTTATGGCAGGCTGTGCCCGGGCAAGCAGCGGTTTGAGAATTAACACTAGAACGAACGACGCCGACATTTTGACGGCTACAACATTTCAAGTCATATTATCTTTATTAAAATGAAACAGTAGGCCATTGTGATTACTTCACTTTAAATGTATTTATGATTTAAAGTATTTGTGAAAAGTTCGAAAATATTCATCCACTCAAAATTGTTATATTAATCGATTTATCTTAAACGCCCGACAGCCGTTTAACTTAAAAAAATTAAATAAAATCTACAGGCTCCGAAAAAAAATTGTTGCGCGAATTTCACCTTGAGTCTCGCGGGCACGGAGTACGGTAGCGTGAATTAGTTTTCGAGGCGCCGTAAAAATGCTCGCTCGTCGCTCCGGAAAAAACTAAATTTTGCGGCGGCGAAAAAAGGGATTCTTCCGCCCGGAACGTTTGAACATGTTCCCGCAGGCGTTTGCATTTCTTCGCGTAATTTGATGGCATTCTCGCGGATTATTTGTAGCATCGCCGCGCGCAACGCCTCGGTTGTCGCTGGCAGGTCCACCAAATCTACACGTTTACTTTGCCAACCAGTCTCGCGATTTTCTTGCAGTTCGCGGCGCCCTTTTTCTCTACCTCGATCACGGCGTTATTTCATCCGTCACACAAGTCGGCGACCTTTCCCGCGCTTTCCTGAATCGCTGACTTAACGCGCGCATGCAGGTTGCGAATTTTACAGTCTTGCTAATCGAGCTAAGTTTCGACCTGCACCTCGTCTGCTGATAATCGAGCGCTACTGCTCTCGATATTCTCGTCTAAACGGTCGGCGACGGCGCCGATCCGTGTGGAGATAACCGCGGATTCTCGAGTATAAATTGTGATGTGCTCGTCGAACTGCGCAGTCGCCGCGCTAGCGACTGCTGTCGCGCGCGCGCGCGCCTATCTGTGCACAGAATCCGCTAATTTGCTCTGTAAACTGCGATTTCAGATCGTCAATCTGATTTGTCATCTGTTCCTGACTTTCCGCAAATTTCTCGGCGAGCTGATTCGCCGTACGTTCCTGAATTTCCACAAATTTTGCCATCTGATTTACCATTAAAGCCTGCATCATCACAAACATCTATGGCCGGCGCTTTACATCGCTGGGTAGCTCGCTTTCGCGATCATTCTCGTGGTTGGACATCTTGAATTGTTTCACTCGCGCATACGACAAACACTTTACACAATGCACACAAATGACAATACCAGAAAGCAGAAAAAAATACAAAACAAACAACAAAATATCACTCTCAGCGATTAAAAAATGTCTCTGGCAATTCGCCAGATTACCAAATGAATTAAGCCAAATCACGCATGCAAATTTAGATTATGCCAGCTAATCAGAAGTCGGGTCAAGTATGTACGGGCCATAGATCGAAATCTACCTTGACGTCTCAGGTTCCGCGGCACGTCGTCGTAGAAAACAGCCGAAAAGGACAACGCTTCGCTTCGCCTGAGCCGTCGCTTGCCACACGTTGAACAGTGCAATTTTTTAACAGCGCTAATCAATCGGTTGGTTTCTCCTACCTAGAAAGGAGTGGCTGACCGCTGTCCGTAACTGTAAGATATCCTTCTTACCTATAATCCTTTCCTGAACCCCGGGAGCCAGTGGGTGGATTGAGTAGTTCGGAGGCTTCCGTTTTCTAACCTTAGGTGTATCCTTATCATTCCCTTTGTCTTGTTCAGAAGCAGAAGTGCTTCAAATAGGGGTACATTGAACTCCGGAGTCTTGGAAGACACTCAATCTAAGGGGAAAAAACTCTAAAAATAATTACTCGGTTCTCCCGGAAAGGAGTTGAGGCATGGGGCAAGCAGCCCCATACTCGAAAAAAAAAATCCGCTCAATCTCGCAATGGAAATGAGCCTCGGATTAACTCACAACGTCGACAAACGCAAAAAAATCGTCTATGAATTTTGAATGCTGGTTAAAGCAGTAAAGTAAATGAAGTTTTTATCGCAATAGAGGAGTTTAATATGGATATAATAGTGTTGAGTGAAACAAAAAAGAAGGGAAATGGAAATGAAAGGAAAGGAAATTATGTTCACTATTTTAGTGGAGTGGGAAAAGAAAAGCGTGCAAGAGCAGGAGTGTCCATATCTGTACATAAAAGATTGGAGAAAAATATTCATAGCTGGGAAGCAAATGATGAGAGAATAGCATGTCTCGAACTTGTACTAAGAGGACGCAATGTTTTTATTATAGGAATTTATCCTTCAACAGACGATGCAAGTGTTGCAGAAAAATATATATTTTAGAGAAACTGACTATGCTGATGGATTCTATTGGAAATCGCAAAGAAGTGGTGCTTCTAGGTGATTTTAATGGAAGAGTTGGAAAACGAATGGCGCATAATGTTGTGGGGCGATATGGTGAAAATGTATTAAATGACAACGGAGAAAGACTTATAGAGACATGTGAACTTAATAACCTTAAAATAATAAGTGGCTATTTTCCACATAAAGAAATACATAAATTCATGTGCACCCAACCCACTAAAAATTACTAAAGATTACTACATACTAAAAGGAAAAGCTTACCTTATGTATAAACCGTACTTCAAAAGTTACAGGGTTGGTCGAAGTAAAGAACAAGGTATATTTGAGATGGCTTTCCACAAAGGATTTAGAAGACAGAAGTGAATATAACAGAATGAAATATTTGGTCAAGAAAAAATTGAATAAGGCAAAAAATGTATTCTGGGAACAAAAATGTGACAGATTAGACAAGTGCATTGGTAACACCAAATCCAGAGAGGCATGGAAAATGTTACATTCCATTAAATTGAATACAACCCAAGAATGGCATTTACTAGACCCAATTGGTATTGAAAAATGGCAAAAATACTATGAAAATCTTGTGACAGAAAATGAAGCTATATTTCAGAGAATAAATTATGATCCACTGCACGTAAATGCGATCACACCAGATGTGACTTTGGAAGAGTTAAAAAAAAGTGTTCAGAAACATGTAAAATAATAAAGCACATGGGCCTGGAGGTATATCCATAGAGCTGGTTAAACATTATCCTATTGTAGGTTTGGAATTAATTACTGAAATACTCAATGGCATTTTAAAAGGGGGTAAAATACCTGCAATATGAAAATTAGTCTATATAAATTCAATTTACAAAAAAGGTTGTAAAAAAGATTGTAATAATTGTAGAGGGATTAGTGTGACTTTATCTTTGGTTAGACTGTATGGACGTGTGCTAAAGAATAGAATTGAAATGCAAACATCAGACTAAGAAGAGCAAAGTGGATTTAGACCTGGAAGATCGTGTATTGACAATATTTCCTGTCTCAACTGATGGAAAAAACAATTGAGCGAGGAAGAGAACTTCTCATAATTTTCATTGATCTCAAAAAGGCTTATGATAATGTACCAGTAAAATAAGTATGGGGGGCAATGGAAGAAAAAGGAATATCAACAACATACATAAACGCAGTCAAACAACTTTATAAAGATAACAAAAGTCAAGTAAAAGTGGGAAAATGTCAGACAACTTCTCAGTAAATAAAGGATTACGGCAAGACTGCTGTATATCTCCAACCCTGTTTATGATATACATTGATAAAGTCCTAAAAGAATGGAAAAGAAAGCGCAGGAGCATGGGTGTGAAAATAGGTGATGAGACATTGTTTAGTCTACTATTTGCAGACGACGAGGTGATAATGGCTGAAGATGAAGATGATGTAACTTATATGTTCAGAAAATTGGTAAAAGAGTATGAAAAATGGGGGAATAAATTTACAAAAAACTGAATATATGGTGGTGGGAGGTATGCCCCATGATTTAGAGACTAGTATAGGAATAATTAAAGGTAAAACACAATATACGTATTTGGGAGTCACACTAACAGCAGATGGTAGAGACGAACAGGATGTGAAAAATAAAAATATAAGAGGAAAAATAGCCACAAGACAGTTGAACCCAGTGCTATGGAACTCAATTATTTCAATGAAAACAAAGAAACGCATATATAGCTCCTTCATAGAGAGTACCACACTCTATGGGGCAGAAGTCTGGACACTATCAAAAAAATTGAAAGACAAATTTCAATCAACAGAAATGATGTTCTGGCGAAGATGTAAACTTTCTCTGTTAGATAAAGTAAGAAATGATGAAATAAGAAATAAAATGAAAATGCAAACATCCTTGAACGAAACGATCGAAATGAAACAACTAAAATGGTATGGACGTATAAAAAGGTTGAAATCGGATAGACTTCCACAAGAAGTTTGGGAGTGGATACCAAATCGAAGAAGATTCAAGGGAAGACCGAGAAGAACATGGCAATAACTGAAGTCATGGAAAAAAGAGAAATGCAGGAAAACGATCTATGGGATAAAGAGGCATGGAAATTGTGTTGCGGAAAGCGGCCAAGGCTGTAAAAAACGCTAAATAGAATAGATAGAGCTAATCAATCGTATACCCCCCTTGGAAGCGCCATTATTGTAACCATACAAACCCTGTGACTGCCCCGACTCACCTGATTACCTGGTTATGGCGATCCAATGTTGCCCCGGCTGCTCAGTCCGTAGACTCTGTAAAAGGAGGCATGTGTAATAGGGCATATTCTCGTTCTAGTACTACATTGAAACACATAGTATTTTCAGAGGTGGATTTAACATTCCCTTTTTTCATGAGGTGAAGCCTCCCGTTATAATTACTCCGTAAAACTAGCTTACAACTAACGTACCTTAAGTTCGGCCGGACGGGCCAGAGTTCATCCTTGGAAGCAGGTCGGCGTCCTTCCCGGCAGTCACGACTGCGGTTACGGGAGCGGCGGCCTTCGCCCTGGTGCTTGGCGCGGTGCGGTGAGGCGGCGGCAGTCTCGCCTCACCCCTTTGCCCATTAGCAAGGCGGTCGGGGCGGCACGCGGCGTGGTGGAGTCCAGGGCGCTAGCAACGCCTCGTCCGGGCATCGGCGGCGTGACTCACGGCAGCGGTGTTCGTGCCTCGGCCCGTCGTCAGTCCTGGGCTGGAGGTTGGGTACCCACTGTCATTGTCCGTGGCGTTCGCTCTTGAGTTAGCGACCCCAGAGGCGGCCCGCGATGTGGCGATGAGGTAACGCATTCACTGGCGTCCGCCAAGAAGCCAAAGAAACTCGCCATCGTCCCTACCTCGGAAAGGCACTTCTGCTCACTGTCGCTTTCTCTATCGGAATGACCGAGCTTGTGTGTTGCAGCTACCTCCTCAGGTTTGAAGGGTTACGTGGCCCTGCTCCGTATTGAATAACACACATTGATTAAAATCTTGAAACACGCGTCGCAACCTGACATGTGCGACTGTCCCATTACAATAATTATGTTGTAATAGATAAGTGGAAAGGAAAAATAAAAATAGTTTCCGTGCCTTTTATGAATAGCGGTATTGTCGATGAAGTGCACTGTACTGCAGCACTATCCATAGGTATTAATAACTCCTTCGGCAATAGTCACTACATTATTTATAATTAATTTACTGCCAGAACGCATTCTCGCAGAGGGAACTGGATTTAATTTTTTCGCAGACTTCACAGAAACAAAACGAGCACTTTGTTCCGGACTGTCTCGGCTGGAGTCAGAATTATTGGTCAAATGCTGTTAAACATCGGCACTATTCGTGCTTTTTCGGATGTGAGGTCGGGCTCTCCATATTAAATTACAGCTGTAGTTCCTAATTCTGCCGTCTACAAATGTATAATGAACGATAATGAACAAATCGTGTTGGTGTGTGTGCAGAAGACAGGCAATTCGGAACGGATAGAGTTTACGTCGGAGGAGGCCGCTGCAGCCGCTGAAGCGAGACATCTGAAGAGCGCTGGGGTGAACATCATCGTGGTGCTGTCCCACTCCGGCATCGACAAGGAGTTGGACATCGCGCACGTGGACCCCAACGTGGACATCGTGGTTGGCGGGCACTCCCACTCGCTGCTGTACACGGGCACGCCCCCCAGCGGCGAAATCTCGACCGACGTCTACCCCATCATCGTCACGCAGCCGTCGGGGCGCAAGGTAACGTATGTTAACCTGACGGAAGGGAGTCCCAAGATGAATTGTAGACAGACCTATGTAAACGTCTTTACTTGATTTTATGAGGCACGTCATTTTTGTTTTCAACACTTTTGGGGATCCCCATCATCAGGCAAAACCAAGCAGGAGCTCATAAGCGCAAATTCTGTAGTCATATTGTATAGTGAAATGGAATGAATTTCACTCTTCTCTTGAATGACACTGACATTCACCAGTGCGTGACGATATTCTATTTTCTCATAATATGCGCCCCTACTTGGTCGCCCAAGATATTCGGGGCCCGAGAAATTAAAAAAATATTGAAAAATGTAGGTGTTTTTAATTGCACTCAGAATAAAATTATCTTTTTCACAAAAACGAAAAGTAAACTATCGCGTCAATTGCAAAAAATTTAAACATTTTGTCTTACAAGATTTTTTCAATTCTTTGTAAATATTAACGCAAATACGGTTTTTTATTTGCAAGTGGTTTACGGGTACAATGGCAATTTTGTTATTAAAAATGAGTTTCTTTTGATTATGAATAGCGTTGCAGCATTGGAGATAATTTTAAAGTGATGTATGGTATTTTAATGTGTGGTATGGTATATATTTGTTGTCAAAGTGCACTACTTACGTTGTGAGTGAATTTCAAATGCGTTTGTTGGAATCGTTTTATTACGGAAATGGTTTCGTGCAATAGTTTTTATTCTAAACGAAAAATATTGCAATTCATCTCGTACTTATATCAATATTTCAATTACCTCAAGTTAATTCATGAAAGCGTAAGTGGTTGAGAAATGAAAGAAAACATCAGCTGACAGTCATGTTTTGAAATATAGCTCAAGTCGTTAAAATCAACATTTCCATCGATATGTGTACATTGTTCTATTTGTGGGTGGAAGTGCTTCAAATGACTTCCAAAGACGTTTTTCGAAAACTCAAACTTTTTCTGTGAAAAATAGCTTTAAATTTTACATTTACAGTAATGCTCAAATAACATTTACATAAAAGAATCAGAAATATTCACCTCTTTAATTGAACGACATTCCCTTGATAATAAATAATTAACACTATTGCTGTAGGACTCACCGTTTCGACATATTTAAATTTGCAACATAATAAGTGTATAATCAATTTCCTTGATAGCTGATAAGTATATGCCAACACAAGTCATACTACTGAATAGACAAGAGAAAAATTAACAATGTGGGTTATGTTCATATTCGCCGTAAAGCACTATAGGTCGGAGTTAGTTGGGAGTTTTAGCGCCATGCGTAAGGTAGCGGCGTTATGCACTAACAGTCACGTGATGGACCTTGAAGTCTTAACGTCTTACCTTAGGCCTAAGGTACGACCTTATACCTTCATAAATAGTTGCACGCCTGTAAGAACAGTCACCTTACAAGCGGCAAAATGGCCGCCTAAAAACAGAAAGAGTTGAATTTTTCCAATTCTGGTAAACCGATTCTCGTATGTAAGGCAGTTACAATTATTCCTTATCAACTCCACATCGCTGGCAAGAATTAACGGGATATGTTAAAGAGATGACAGGAAAGACATTCTCGAAAAAGGAGTGCAAATCATATCTTCGCGATAGGTTATGTCTTACGCTCATAACGAACGCTGTTTTAAGGTATTTTCTATATTTTGAAGAAAAGCAGACTGCATACTCATCACGAAGGGCCACAAAATCTACAACACCATGTAGAATGTATATTTGTTGTTCTGTTGACTCGTAACGTGTTTTAAATGTCTCACCACTAGCCTACACATTTTGATATATTATGCAATTTCTCTGTTCAACGCTTGAAATGCTTCCTTTGTTATAATGCATAACGCAATGTTGCAATTGCTAAAACTCTTCTGAACATTTTTCATTACGACCGTATGAAGGCGTTAGTCACGTGATCAATGTAGCTTAAGGACATCTTACGCCTGGCGCTGAAACTCCCTAATAAATTTTGCCGGAGAAATTGTTTGTAAGCTAATATAGTATATGAATAAATCTATTATCTGTAAGTGTATGGGTTAAAATATTGAAACGGGAGTTTTAAAGGCAGTTTAAAATAAACAGGAAAGTTTAAAAAGTATAAAAACAGCCATAGTTAGGACATACTAATTTTCACCATGTTGCCGTAAGACTGAAATTGTTACTACAATAAATTCGCAATACCCCCAATAAAATGAAATCATTGAACTGAATTATTTCAAGAAATATTTGTGTAACATATTCGCTGTTGCATAGGATGAAGGAAAGACGAAGGCTTAATGTTTGTTGTTTGTGAGAAATCCTTTCCTTCTGAACGTGAATTGTTATACTCCGATCCATTTCTCAACATCGGATGACTGAAAGAGATACAGGCTTCTTGTTTCTGCCCCTGATTTTGTCCTTGTACTCGTAAGGAGATGAGAAAGCGCCCTCTGAGCTGCTTGGCGCCCCCTTCGCAGGTGGCCGTGGTGCAGGCAGGGGAGCACACGAGGTACCTGGGCAACTTGACCGCGTTTTTCGACGACGAAGGCGAGTTAGTCTCTGCAGAAGGAAATCCCGTGTACTTGAACGCGTCCGTGGAGCCAGGTGAGTAGAGGATGTGGGGCAAAAGGAAGGCCATGCTACCTTCCTTTTGTGTATTACAATGCATACAATTGCGTAATAGTCAAGATCGCGGGCTGGGAAACAAGCAGAATAGAAATCTCGAGCTCTGGGTCCATAAGAATTGATGAGATATTTAAAAGAAAGGGATGTACAATTAAAACAACAATAAGACAATTCAAAGAAAATTACTATTTATTTTCTGTTCTAAATAAATGATTTAAAAAAAACAAAAAATTAAATAAATTAGCCTAAAGTTTTCTGGAAAATCTACAGCAGCCGTTTAATATTTAATTTTTTAAATCACACGATTAATTCAGGTAAATAGTTTCTCTGAGGGTTAACTAAAAAATGGAATTTTTGTTTACCAGTACCTTGAAAAGCACTACTAGCTCAAGGTACAGGTTTTTCCAAATATACAATAATCTAAACACATTTCAGCCAATTTGCTATTTTAACGTCACAAAAGCGTCCAAAAATCAACAGCACTAATACCATTTCCAACTGCGGAAAACCTCTGCCAGGACAATGTAAATAGCTAAGACATTCTCCTACCACTGTCAGACGTGCAATGGGAGAATGGCAAAGTCATCCTCCTATCACTCTCCGACGCACAATGCAAATGGCAGAGTCATCGAACAATAGGGGAATGGCAAAGACATCTTCCGACCGCTGTCAGGCGTAAAATGGAAGAATGGCAGAGACATTCTCCTACTGCAGTCAGACGTACGAAGGACATGCGTAAGGCATACAATTGTTATTCTACCGTTGTACGTTTGACATACAATGGGCATATGTCTCACGTATAGCACTTGTACACCTCGGAGTCGCCCTCCCATCACTGTCAGACGTAAAAATGGAGAATAACACAGACATCCTCTCAGACGTACAATGGGGGCCCTCCCATGAATCCACCCACAACTGACAGACGTACAATGAGGGAATAACTGAGTCATCTTCTCACCGTCTGTAAGACGTAAAATGGGGTTATGCCCGGGTCATCCTCCCTCTGCTGTAAGACGGCCGATGTGGGAACGACTGAGTCATCTTCTCACCGTCTGTAAGACGTAGAATGGGGGTATGCCAGTCACCCTCCCACCTCCCGCCGTTGTGGGAGTCGTGTCTCGGAGGGCGTGCCCCGCAGACGCGGAGACGGTGCTGGCGCTGGCGCCGTGGGCGGCGGGGCTGGAGGCGCTGGCCGGGGGCGTGGTGGGGCGGTCGGCCGTGCTGCTGGAGCAACAGGGCGGCGCGTGCGACGGGCGCGAGTGCAACCTCGGCTCGTTCGTGGCCGACTCGCAGGTGCGCGCCTTCGTCGGGAGGGGGGCGCCCGGCTCGTGGACGCGGGCGGCCATCGGCGTCGTCAACGGGGGCGGCCTCCGCGCGCCCGTCGCCCAGGGCGGTGAGTGCCCCCCGCACGCGACACTTCCTTTCTGTTCCTTCGCCTCTCCTCACCTGCACCAGACTGGCCGGAGGACATGTCGGGAGCTTGGATCTTGTCCCGTCTCTTATTACCTCTTCTCTCATTCAACTGAAATTTCTTAAATATCTAATTACTATTTTTTAAGTTTAATAGAATTTATATCTTCAACGTAATGTTGTCAATAATTCCTTCTTAAGGTTCCCTATGAGATCAAAATGTTCAGTGATGACAATTTGTAAAATTCAAAACCTTGAAAGACATTCTTGTCAAACAGCCAGAAATATATTTAAAAATAAACGCTACCAATTTTTGCTTTACATTTTCTCTGCTTGTGTATCAAGGGACATTTCTCACACTCACCGTATTTTTGAAAATTGCAAGTAGTTAACATTACAAAACTACAAAATTGAAGGCTAATTTTTGCCTTGTCAGCTCAATAAAGAAGGTCATGCACATATTTTTTTTAAAACGGGAAGTATTCACGTTATTTATAATTAAAATGATTGCTGTAAAAAAATTAAAAACTACTTAACATTTTTATATCAATTTTAGAAGAGGGACTGATGAGAGAACGGCGCGTCTCATTTCCGTTGAACTCTCCGAATTGTCGAAATTTACAAATTAAGAAATGATGTGCGAAAGTATATGCTGTTTTAGATTACTATTTTTGCATTTTCCCTTGTCCCTTGCAATATAAACTCATCAGGTCCTAATTGTCCGAAGAGTTCAGTTTTCTTTCCGCTGCTGCTCCGCCGCGTGGCGCGCGGCACGTGGCCGACGTGAGCCTCCTGCAGGTGTTTGTGGTGCGCAGACGTGACGCTGCGGGACGTGCTGGCGGCGCTGCCGTTCAGGAACACCGTGGACGTGGTGGAGGTGACGGGAGCCGCGCTGCGGGACGCGCTGGAGCGCGCGGCGGCCGAGCCCGACGGCCAGAGCTTCCTGCACGTGTCGGGGCTGCGCGTAGCCTTCGACGCGGACGCCCCGCCGCAGCGGCCGGCGCTGGTGGCTGTCTCCGCGCTGTGCCACGCCTGCGCCGTGCCCGTGTGCGTACCTCCGCGCCCGCTCGCACCCTTTTTACTTTTCCGCCTTGCACTTACTGACGTTACTGTCGCGGCTTGAGGGGGAGAGGAAGTACCCCTAGCAACTCGTGCACGGAGAAAGAAAAGAGAGTGTCCATTAAAGATGTTTATTATACTCACCCGCGTAGTGGACCCATCGTCCTGGGAGCGAGTGACGACACGACGGCTGGCTACGGCAGGTTGCAATACGTGAAGAGAGGGGCAAGGTGCGAAGCCCTCGCCATTTTATAGCCTCGGAACGCTGGCGTCGGCAAGTGACAACTGGGTCACTTGACGACGGCAGCATGTCGCGAGGACCGGAATGCCATATCGCGACATAACAATCGTGCGCTGGAAGACTGCGCATTTTACACAAAAAATCTTATTGCCGAGCCCTCATAACAGAAGAGTGGATAAATCCAGTTGCTAAATTCCTCAAACACGTGATGTAGCCAGAATCCAGTTTTGTGGGTCCTTCATACCGAAACACCGATGGACGGCAAAACGTCTGTCCATCAACGCTAGTGCATAAACAGTTCAGCTGATTTTCTCCAAAATTAATATTCCACAATTATTCTAATTGATGTTATGAACCCTGAAAATTCAAACCAAACAAATTTTAATTTTGGGGATACTTCACATGAAACCCCTCGAACATTTCCAAAATTTTCAAAAACATTCCTCCAAATTATTCGATTCAATTTTGTTGTTGAATAGTGCAAAGAACCTTTAAGAGAATTGTGCAGGTCTCGTTTTAGTTGTCATCCCCGATTTTTCGAAAATTGGAAAAAAAGTGTTTAAGCAAAATTGGAGATAGAGATTTTTGTCTTAGACAAACTGTGTTCAACAAAATTATCTCTTTAAAAAATATTATGTACAATTTTATGAAAAAAAGAGTAGTTTATGCGTATTTTGCGATTGAAATTTTTTAAAAATTCTCAATAACTGCTTAATTTTTTCCTTTAAATGTTTTCACGTATGTAGTAAGAGACAATACAAATATGAAGCTAGTCATATTTTCCGGTATTCCTCAGTTTTTTCAAAAGTTTCAAAACTACAAAATTGAAGACAGATTTTTGCCCCAGACAAAGTCTGTTGTATAAAATTAACTCATTAAAAAAGGAATGTACAAGTATTTGGAAAAAAGTCGTTTTGCATATTTTGCGATTGATATTTACAAAATATTCTTAAAATCCGCTCTAATCTTTTTAAAAATTTTCTCCACATATGTAATAAGGAACAGTGAGAAATATGGTGATGGTCTCATTTGCAAGAATCACTCGTTTTTTCGAAAATAAAACCAATTCAAAACTTCAAAATTGAAGATAGAGATTTTTGCCTCAGACTAAGTCTGTTGTGTAAAATTAGCTCTTTAAAAAAGGGCATGTACATTTTTTTGAAAAAAAAAAAGAGTAGCTTTTACTAGTTTCTGCTTTAATATAAAGAAATATATACAGGTTTCACACCAACTACGGGCCATGAAAAAATTTTGAATGAATGATACGAAAAATAATTGATTTAATTTTAATTATAATTTCCTATTGTAAATGCCAATATGCATTCAATTTTGGTTTTCTCGCACTTATACTTTACTTAATTCTACAATTTGCATTCTCAGTCTATTGATGTACGAATACATAACGTTGATGATCTGCAGACGGTATAACGGCTTTCATTGTTCCTTCATACCGGAGGGTTATTAGTGTTAGTTACGCCATCATTCAAGGAATTTTAATACTGCTCAGGTTTAAGATATCATATATCTGTGGAGTGCAAACTACACCACCTACAACTGAATATCTGGGTGGTGTGCGCGCAAAGCAATGACAGGAGAGGATGAGTTCATCAAAAATAGATATTTAAATAAGATCCTGTTGAATTTTTTTGAAAATAAGAGTGTTGTTGGGTTAATTTGGAAACAAAAATAATGGCCGGTTTGAATTTACTGCGCTTCGTTGTCGTAATGACCGATATTTGGATGCTTCGTATGTTAGAATTTGTATATTTCAAATATCTTTGTTCGTTTCTTACATTCGACTTTTGTCATACATTCACACATTAATCTTTTAGAAAATATTTAAAACCTATTTGAAATACTGCTAGCTTTCAGGGGGTATCAGATTGGAATGCTATAATAACTCGACAACAATAATTCGGGAGCACATTTTTGTGAATTGCGTCTTATTTTTGGAACATGATTTACCTGCATGAAAATCAGTAGTCAAATTTGCGGTGATATTTGCTTGAAAATAGTTTTTGCACCAAAAGTACTACGAATTGAAATGAGTCGGGTTGGGCAGTATTTAAATACCTTCGTATGAAATAAGTATTTTAAATAATTCACATGTTCATCCACGGCACTTGAATGTTAATTTTTTTCTTTGCAGCTGTTATTTATTCACCAACTAGGGCGTTTATTGTCTCATCATTTGCTTAAAAAATCAGTTGTTTTCAATGAAATTCCATTTCTTTGTGTTAAACTATTTTTGATACCAAATTATATTTGAATATATTTATAAATATGATTACAATATTTATACAATATTTATTGTTCAGAAATTTGTATGACTGTCAATTACTAATTTACTGTAGTTGACTATATATTGTTATAAAAATATATAATACAAATTTGTTATATATTCACAGTATTTTGAGTACAATATACTTCGTTGAATTGTTAAATGTTGAAACGTTGTAAACGTAAAAACTCAGCAAAATAAGCTATAAGAGCATAAGGCAGACGTTCGCGCGCTTTTTAGAGGATCGGGAGGGAAGTCGACCACTCCATGAGCGAACCGCGCTTCATTCAAATCGAGCGACACGTTTCTTAACAAGAGTTCTTACACTTCCTTTGGTGTAAATAGAAAGATCCTCACTCGTAGAAAATCTTACCTTTGATATTAACTAGGTTTTCATCAAAGCTGTCATTTGATGCATATAATACAAATATAAATTTTGTTGGATGGAAATTAGAATGTAGAAAAGTTTTGAAATGTTGCAACTTTCGAAAAATCAGGGTTTACAAAGAAAATGAGACCTGCACCATTTGCATAAAATTCCCTCATACTATCGAGCAATAAAATTTAATGAAAAACGTTGGAACTATGATTTTGTTTCGAAAATGTTCCAGGGGCTTCATGTAAAGGAAAAAGATTAGCTAAAACTTCAAATGATTATACATTCCTTAGTTTTTAGAATTTATTTTAAAATATTGAATTAAATTACTAGAACACAAATACTATTATTAAAGGCGAGAAGGTATGTGCTTTGTGAGCATCACTAGTTTCATTTATTAGTGACTTCTCTGGTCATTGGTCCTGTAAGTGTAGGGCGCGTTTTCAGGCGTGAGGTGGCGGTGTTCTGCTCCTCCTGAGTGGGCAAACCCGCCACCGACCTACACATCAGCTTTCCTCAACACGGTTTCTCCCTCCAGCGGGGCACCGCCCCAGCAGGGACGAGATATAAGCACCCGTCTGGTCTCTCGGCCTATGTGGTAATGTAGTGCATGGTAATGCAAGTGTCTGAAACGGGTGAGGATAGGGCAGAGAAGAGAAAGGAAAGATGGCACGCGTTTCGTAGCCCGTTTGTTAGGGTACTGCTCCGACATTCACCGGGTGTTGATCGAAAGAACCACGGAAAACTACCGATCAGTGCAGTCGGCCGCTAGAATTCTCCTATAGATAACGACTGAATTCCACCTAGCTTAGAAGCTAGTGTCGAAAATCCTGCCACCGTCGGGACTTGACCGTAGGACCTCCAGGACAGGCACTGCAATGGCATCAGTTGATGCCCTGAGCGACCTGAGGTGGTAAATATTTAGAATTCAGCCTAGGAGCAAATAAAGACAACTGACAATAAACGTGAAGATAGCAAAGTCTATTGATCACATTATCTACACGGAGTGTGCTGCAAATGACGTATAATATTATTTTCATTATCTTTTTTTCGCAACTTAAAAGTTAATATGATAAAGAGTCTTAGTGTTTCATCTATAAGAAAGATACAAGTGAAAACTCTTAAAGACGCGTGGTACCCAGTGTCTCTAAGCAGTTATATCTTTGCCGGCGTGGACTGTTTTTACATGTTGACGAATTGATTAGTACAGAGTGTTCCCGCATGTAGGAGCTGCTGAAAGACGAGTTGTACCCAATGTCTCTTAGGAGCTATATCCTTGCCGAAGGGGACTGTTTCTACATGTTGACGAACTAAATAGCACAGAGTGTTCCCGCAGGTACGAGCCGCTGAAGGACGACGCGTGGTACCCGGTAGCTCTGAGCAGCTACCTCGCCGCCCACAAGAAGGACATCTACCCGTTCTCGGAGCAGGGGCGCAACCACGAGGTGGGCCTGCTGGACACGGACGTGCTGCTGGAGCACCTGCAGGTGGAGGAGCCCGTGGTGCAGGCACATGAAGGACGCATCGTGTTCGTGCGTTCCGCCGCTGAGAAGGCGCGCCTGCGCCACTCTGGCAACGGCGCAGCGCGCGCTAACAACGGCAACGCCGCCCCTGCGGCGCCCGACGGTAAGCGGTCCCTGAGGCAGCTGCGTTGCGTTGCGCTGGAGATAGGAACTCCCTGTGGTAGCGCGTTTGCACAACCAAACAAAGGAAATAATAATTCGCTCACACGTTACAACCAGGTCGACAAGTGTTTCTTCAATTTGGAAAAAGTCCTACATAGGGGTTAGGCGCGGGGGGTTCACAGTCGGACGGACAGACAGACGGACGTTAAGCCGTCAATTGTATTTTCAGTATCAAGGAGTCACAAAACCGGATTTATGATACCAAGTGTTAGTATTTTTTCTTAATTTAGCAACTGGATGTATCAACTTTTTCGTTATCAGAGCTCGGCAATGAATTTTGTTTTGCAGAAAATTCGCCATTTTTTCGCGCAGCATTACATAACTTTCCCTATACAACGTATATTACTCTATATATTGGTGAAGTGGTTAAATGTCAGGTTCGGACTCCGCGTTTCGGTGGGTAGTTCCGCTGGTTCCGGCCTGTCTCGGGGCACCATTATTTGTCACAACTGTTATTGTAGGAAACTATCTAATATTGCAGAATGATTATTAAAAATCATTTCAAGCAGTTCTACTCACATATACAATCTGTTAAGATCCTAAATAAACAGAAAGTGTCAGTATGTCATTTTCGCATTTTGAAATTTGAAACATATGTACAACTCTCTTGATATGTTTTTAAAACATATGTCCAATCAAACCATTTGTTCAATACAATATTCAAAGAAATATAATATTTTAGATCGCTTAGATAAATTGCGATAGATAATTTTATTTTACCTCAAAAACAGTTAAAAACTGGGTGTGACATGATACAGAGAGAGGCGTATTTTATGCATGTTTTCTTTATTCTGGAATCCCTACAATATTCTATATACGAGTTCAATTCTGAATACAGAAGGAAATGAGCATTTTGGCAAGAATTGTAAAAAAAAATATTAGTTTCTGTGCAGTGGTGAATCCTGAAAAATCGGGTGGAGGATGCGATAAAAAGTAGCAAATAGTTTGTCAAAGAAGACTGGTTGGTTTCACTACTTACTGCGACTTGGTCCCAGACATCATTGTTAAGTTACTTATTGGTGTCCAAAATTAACAAAAATTGCAAATAATAGGAAATACATTGTATTATTAATTGTCATACAGCTGGAACTCAAAATGTTAGAATATTTGGGCACAGCAAAAGATTAAAAAAAAAACTGTTGATACACACTAGACTTAAAGTTCTCTAGACAAGACTCGACGAGACTCAAAGGTAGCGCGCTCGTTGTTTCCCAATGAAACTTCATAGAGATATTAAGCGATATAACTTTAGCTGCATCAATTTATCGTTTAGTCTCATCAGGTGGGGCTAATTTGATACGCAAGTTTGATTTTTAAAGAGTTGTACGTTACTTCGTACACGTCTTTAACATCAAAAGGCAATAAATTCAGTTGTTTTTTTATGTTTGTTGTAAACAGTAGAAAAGATAAGGTGAAACAATTGCTTTTCTGTGTCATAAAAGCGTCGATTGACCCTAATTAGCGAAAATTCGAACCTGACAACATTGTCTAGAAGCTTGAAGTTATAGTAATAAGATAAGTGCTTCATAAGCAACTCCTCCAAGTGAAGAAAACTTCACTAATTCCATATTCTACCGCATTTCTCTGTGCAACATTCTTGCACAGAGAAAATGAGAAACATATTCTGTAGAGATTAGAAATCATAAAACGAAGGGATGCGACGCGTCCATTGACGCTAAGCCACTGTTCCCGAGCAATAAAATATATTTGCAAAGGTAAATAGCTCTAGATTTGGGCTCTTATCCCTCATCATGACCTTTGTGAAGGAATGTATTTCTTGCCGCGGCAACATGGAGAAAGATAATTTGAATAACCATAAGAAGTGTACAGGTAGTGAAGTTACATTCCTTCGTAGAGAACTAGTAGAGCATACAACAACACAAACTTAATCGCATTATTTGTAACCGTTCGTAATATTATACCACTATGTGAACCTGCAAAAGTGTTTCCAAGCAGAATAATTTTTTTCTCCACGCCAAGGTTGGAACTCGGGTTGGTGGATTGTTAGTGATTCCGGGAGCGTCAACTCCCAAAGTCATCATTCCCGTTAGTATGGTGCATGTTTATGCTCTGGAAGTTGTAGTGGTTTTCCCCGCTGGACCTACCGCCAGCTAAAGGGGTTTTCCTCAACCAGGTATCTCCCACCAGCGGGGCACCGCTCCAGTCGGGACACGCTCTAAACTCCCGGTCGGTCTTCCGGCATGTGTGGTAATGTAGTGCATGTTAGTGTTTCTATGTAAGGGTTGGGGGTGGGACAAAAAAGGAGAAGAAAACATCGCGCGCAGTCCGTGGCTCGTTTGTTAGGATACTGCTCTGGCATTCACGTGGTGTTGATCGGGGAAACATGGAACTCAGGGCTTTTGAAACAACACGTTATCACTACACCATCATTAGAATGGCTACTCTTAGCTTCCTAACACTTTACTCTATTCAGCAACATAATGTGCGTTCGCGCAGTATTTCTAACTTTTACATGTTTCGAAAAATCAATAAAAAGCAGACCTATGTTTATTTTAAGCCGTCTTTTAAGCTCTATCCACGAAAAAAAATAAAGAAAAAATTTGGAGCCGGTTTTGGGATTTTTTTTTTTAAATATAAATTACGTTGTCTTCAAGCAGAAATTACAAGAAAACTATTCATATTTTTCAAAAAATTGTACATTAACATATTATTGAATGATCTATTTATTAGTACAGATCTTAATTCAGAAACAAATATCTATCAACAATACTGTTCTTCTGTGATGCTAATTGTACAGGGAGTTCGCAAAAAATGAGTACAGCACAATTTTTACTGCGGAAGACGCTATCATCCTTAAATAATGTATAAAACATCACGAAGAAAATCGTGTTCACGATATTGATATACAATCTACGTCCATAACTATTAGTGAGTAGAGTGGAATTCTTGCATTAAGCGCCCTATATTGTCCAGATTTCCAGCAAGATCTAACATAAATAAAACACGCTTTGAATCCTTCTTTAACAATTTAGACTCAAGGTGCAGAACACTCCCAGTGGGGTTCTGATTGACATTCTGAAGACTGATTACCACTAGAGGATGAGAACTCCAGAAAGCAGTGACAGCACTTCGTCTTGATTCCTTTTCCACAACAGAACCAACGTACTGGCCAACACACCCAAATAAAATAGCAAACTTTTTTGTTCTAAAAGGTATTTCATCTTGATATTACAATATAGAAGCATCGTATGGACTGTCATCTGAGCATTTACTTATCATAGTCACTGTTAGTACTGAATTACTTCTACGCTCCACTCCTGTTCTTACTAACAGAAAAACTAACTGGAGAGAATACCACCGATGCATATCTCACAACGCTACAATTCGCCTGCCTTTAAAATCCGTAGATGACGTTAGGGCCCTTTACACGGGGATTGTTAGCCGCACTTCCGTAGTGCGCAGAAGTATGGTTCTTATTTCTGCCACGCTTCTGCGCGCCACTCAAGAACGATTCGAGTAAAATCGTCCGCGTAAAGATCTCAGCAGGGTTCTAGAGCGCGCTCTTGTGCGGCGCGCCGAATTTCCGAGATCCGGCGGCCCTCACGTGCGTTCCACGCTCCTCGCTGCTGCTGCTGCTACTCTGTGTCGGTGCAGTTATATATGTTCTGATCGTGTTGCGTATTATCCGGTGGTGTTTATATAGTGTATAGTGTATCAGATTACTATTTTTCAATTAGCTTAATGAGAAATGTCTGTTCAGGATTATCGTAAAAGGAAAATTATAGCAGTGCTTGGAATTAGTGGCATAACACTATACTAAGAGGAAATGGAGAAGTAAAAACGCACTGTTTTGGGTATAAGCTACAGACAAAAATATGATCACATGTCGCTGTTGAGGAAATTAAAGGAGAACTATTCTGATGACTTCCCATACCCCTCATTTTTAATATTTTTATTAGTATACACAGAACTCGTCAGCTTCCATAGACTAGGGCATTCCCTATATATGGAAGGAAACTCTCTCACCATATCCCGGCTCCAGCAACGAGTATACGCCATTTCAAAATACCGCCCGGCTGGTCACTATGTCCACCCGCAACAAAACTCCGCGTGTAAATGCAAGCCACGCTTTTGCTCGCAGCGTTCTGCACCGCGCTCCTGCGCGCAAACCGAAATTTCCCTTTAGACGTGCGTTCTGAAACGCGTACCTGAGTGGCTCGCTGCCCGGCGCGCGTTCAAGAACGATGGTGTAAAGCCGCCTTGACGAAGCCACTGAGTATTTCATGCAGAGCATTCACAATGCTGCGTGGCATGCTACCCACAAGAAATCTTCGTTACAAATTGTACAAAGTTTCCGAAGACCATTTTATTTCTTCAGTAGACGGAGATATTCTAAATGAAAATTTTTAGCTACTCTTTTGATTCCTGATTGCTAGAAGTTGATTTAGCCGTGATCACTAAGGCATTGAACCCTTTTGGCCAGGGTGAAACACTTGACTTCCGTATGTTCGAATCTTCATTAAAAGTGCGCCTAGCTTAAATAACATTTCACAAGAAGTGATTGCTTTCATCCGGCATTTGTTTGTTTTCAGAGCCTGATATGTAAAGATGACATTATTTTTGTATGTCAAGCGCAACCAAGAAACTACGTTCATCTAGTTACTGACAAAAGGACCGCTTATATTAATTTTGATGTATTGTCTGTTCACAGCAAACTCATAACATCACAAAGAAGAAGGCGAGCAAATTGAAAATAAGTTGAAGGCTTTCACTTACGCAGCAGACGTAACCCTATCAACTTCTAGCAACTCCAACATTTTCTTTAGGAATTGTCTCGTGGACGTTCCCATGACTTCATTTCAGACACTTGGCTGGCTCCAGACAGTTCCAGACAGGTGGCCCGCGATCTTGCAAGGTTTCGCGAGCGCTAAAAATGATTTTAGCGAAAACAAATTTTGTATTAGAAAACGTAAAAAGGATATTAAAATACGTTTTTCAAAAAATAAAAAAATGAAACAATGAAATTTAGCTGCTTTTTCTCACTACGAAAAATATTTCGTTTTGTTTTCTGCCCCCTCCCCCCAGAATCAATGATCGGAATTATTACATTAATTGTGAATATTTTTGGAAAAATTATTTGAGTAACTATTTGAGAAATTATATGAGTAACTATTCAATAGAGTTAATAAATTCAAGTATTGAAGAGTGGCCAGATCGACATACAATGTGTTATTTTATTTCGTTTCAACTTTGCTTTAAATATAAACTGTACACTCATAAATATGAAATAAAAATAACTGTTATAAATATTGAAAATTATAAAAATTTCTAATAGCAAACTACTTTTAACAAATCAAACTAGAAGTACTACAGATTGGCACTGACTTTCTTGCATTGTTTTGACTAAATTAATTTTTGGGTATTTCCCCGTCACTGCTGCTACTTCTGGGAGTAAATTGTTTTTATATATTTTCCATTTTTTGCCCCCTAATAGAGTGTTAATGATTTCGATCTTAAGTATATTGTAGAAGAATAAACTAGAGATGTTTGAGAATGAACAGACTTTCTTGCACTAGTTAGTATTGAGAGAGGCTAAAATACCTTGCGGGATATTTTGAAAAACATAATTAGTATGTCAATATAGTATCATTATAAGGTTATACAAATTCATGGAAACAAGACAAAAGTGAGTTATTGGGAATGGATATGACGAGAAATGCGAACAAAGTTCATGGATGTAACATATTTTAAATATTAGGAAAATATTTTATTCAAATAAAATATTTACGTAAGATTACGTGTTGTTAAGCAGGCAATTGAACTCAGAGGTGCTTCAGAAAAGCAGATACAACAGCATCGGTTAAGGTAAAATGACAATGGAAAACAATAGAAGCGGTGGAAGATGGATTGTTGCAAGATGTAAGAAGTCGGAAGGTGACTCGGTGACGATCGGAGTCAGAACGTGTGCTCCTTGGTACAAAGGTGTCATGTCTCTAATGTAGTCGGATGCAAGGCCGCAGGCAACAAACACTTTTTAATGTGTGTCTTAAAGACAGAACGTGATTTGAGGATGCACGAATAATAGGCCGCGATATGCATGAACAATGCTAAATTAATTAAAACAAGCGCGAACAATTCCAAAAATCATGATAAATCAAAGTGTGGAACATCGAAAGAGATGGTTGACGGACGGCCCAAAAGCATTGTTTTGGAAAGATCAATGCACAACCAGGAACAGAGTTCTCATCTCATCGCCAAGAGGGCAGTTTGTCTACAAAAAGGGAATTATTGAACCTAAGAATCTTTACAAAGACTTTGAAAACATTCTTTCTGTTCAAGGCCAAGAATGTTAGTCGTAACTAAGTAAAATAAGCCAGTTTTGTTTCTTCAAAATAATAACAATGAAGTAAAAATGGTATTTGTAAGATGGTTTGAAAGTAAAGTTATATTTGTTTTATGTCGAACCGGAAAGAAAAAAAACAATTTTTGTAATAAAATTGTAGCCAGTAGTTCTTGCCAATGTAATATTGAGTAATTAATTTTACTTAACAGAAAAATCACTATCTTAAATTCTATAGTTGTAGGAAAACGTGTATAAAATTGAAACTTGAAATTTTCGAAAATTTAGAGTTAACGGAGAAAATAGACTTATGCTATCTTTATAAGTGTATTTCACTCTATTATCACAAAAAGTTAAAGAAAAATTTGGAGTCTTTTTAAAAAAGTTTTGAAAATGTCCCAAGGGCTTCATGTAAAGTACCCTCAAAAATTAATGAATACTTTCCAAAATTGCAGAGATTCGATTCAAATCGACAGGAGGTTCTTCAATTAAAAAGAAAATACTACGCATGATCAGAGAATTCGTTTCAGAGAATTTAGCGCATGGTTTATCTATGTTTTCGTTATCAGGGGTCAGCAATAAAAGTTTTTCTGCGGAAAATTGGCATTTTTTCTCGCAACATTTCATAACGTTCCCACTACTGCAAAAGAGGTAGCGAGAAAGTAAAAAAAATCTCTGTATTGAAGGAAGGCGCGGAAAAACACAAAATTGTAATTTTAGAAAATTCGAAATTAACAGGACCTACGCCATCTTTATAAACGTTTCCACTTCATTTTTGGCAAAATTATATCAGTTTTTGATAAAATGTTGAAAATGAAAAATATATAGCTCACAGATTTTAAATTGCTTTTATTCAAATAGTGAAAGAATCACATCTCTTCCAAGTTATATAGACGATAATCATTTTTGTTATAGTGTTGTTTCCTCAATGAACTGCCGCAAACATACCTTAAATTTTTAACATCCATCACACTATTGTAATCAAACAAATAAATAAGACTCCTTTTCAAATATCTTAAAGATATCACCCTTCTATCACAGGACTTCCTTACATTACATCCTTTCCATTACAGAACATCCCTTACATGACATTTCCATTATATGACAAATATAAGATTAAGCGTTAATCTTGGTTCCGTTCCTTGCATTTAAAAATCTATTTTCTATCAAATTAAATAACAATTTCAATAATATTATCGTTAAATTATTCCAAGTAGTAATTATACATCTTTTTCGTTTTTAAACCACGCATAAGATTCAAAAGAAAAGTAAATTCAATTAAAAAATAATTCTGTGAAAATTAGTTATTCCGGTTGAAAACACAAAGATACTAGACGTGTATGTTTTTCTTTCTATTGATTCTCTTTGACGTCGCCCTCTGCTCAGTGGAGGCAGACGTGGACGAGGTGGGGGAGGTGGGACGCACGTTCTCAAAGCTGTAGTCGCGATCGTAGCCATTGTACGCGTCCTTCCACTCCATGAGACTCACATCCGCAGCCCTCAACATGGCGGCCGCGCGAATGCGGTTGTACAGTCGCGGCAGCGGACGCACCAGTCGCTCGAAGTCACTTCGCTCCAGCAGGTAGATCTGCGCAAACGCCACTGTCACAGTCTACACGCCACGCTGTCTAGACGCTTTAACTCACACCGATATATGAATAATATCTGCCAAAATGTTCGGTGCCAAATAGAATTTTGTATTAAGCAACGTATTGTGTAGCGGATGCGGGTGTAATATGATGCAAGATCAATCGCTTCTCAAGATGAACGATCTACACAAACGCTTCATTGTCTACTGGATGGGTCGTTAGGCTATTGAACTGATTAAAATAGATGAATTTGCGTTTTATTTAAATCTCGTTAATGCCGATAGATGCTACATTGTTAATGACCTCAAAGCAGCCCTGGGGAACACCTGACAATCTCACCTCGCACACCTCGAGCGCCACGACGCTCTCCAGGTGGCGGTGGCGGTGCTCTCGCAGCATGAGGCCCATCTCGCCGAAGGAGGCGTTGTCTGTGAGGTGGCCCACCTCCTCGCCCGTGGACAAGAACACGGCCACTGTGCCCTGCGCCAGGAAGTGGAGGTAGCGCGCCGGGTCCCCGCTGGCGTACACCACGTCGTGCGGCAGGAACAGCTGCTCCTGCAGCGCCACCACGATGCTGTTCACCTGTGCACCCGTTCGCGAACTCCTCGGTTATCTGAGCTCCTCAGCCCCCCAAATCATTTGGTGTGGAATCCAAGTAAGTCATGGTCCCTTTATGGTTTAAGAGCCGTTTATGGTAAAAAAAAGAGTACGGCAAAATTGAAGAAATTGCTTACATATCGCTTGTTTGTCCGATAATGGAAAATGGAAGAATTGGTTGGGATCCGGACAAAATTATGTAATGTAAAAATTTGGAAAGGATTCAGCGTAGGGCAGCTAAATTTTCTTTCAGGGACAAGAAAATGGCAGAATGGGATGCACTCGAAAACAGGCGACCAGTAGCAAAGCTCTCCGTTTTGTATAAAGCTGGGAAAGAAATGAATCGGCGGCTAATCGGAATCGGCCTACATGCATCATTAGGAGGGATATCACAGGCACAAAATAAATTTAAGGCCGCAGCGAACAGATGTCGGGAAATTTCTTTGACAAATCGAAGGATAATATAATGGAATAATTGCTTGCAAAAACCTTTGAACCCTTCTTCGAGGGCGGAGCACAAGTGAAATATGTGAAGTGAGGGGTCGTGCAGTGCAGAGCAGAGAAATAATGAAGAAAGTAATTTAAGGGTCTTAGTGAAGGGAAGGGAAGTGCTGTGTTGTGCAGTGCAGTGTGGTCTTAATTAAACAAACATTCGTTTCTATTCTAAGAGTTCGGTTCTGGAAGTTTATTTTCTTAAGGAAATTTAACGGTATATGAATAAGATTTTATAATATTATTATTAGTACTATTACTCTATAATTTGAATTTTATATATATATATAATTATTTATATTTATAATATATATATTATTTTATTATATTGAATACGAAGAACGTTCTATAATAAGAATATTAAAAAAATACAAATTTAAATTAAAAACACCATTTGAGTTTGATCAGGCGCAGTAACGCCGCCGCCGCACAACGGTTCAAATCGGGGAACCGGCGAGGCGAGCGTACGGTTGGGGGTCGTCGTTCCCGTTATTTGTGAGACATTGGTTCACGACGGCTGGAGCGGAACCCGGCGAAATCATCAGCCGTTAAGTTGGGCGGGAACTTGGTCGCCGAGGGTGGAGAATCTCCGACGAGCTTCCGGGGGAACCGAAGTTGCCGAAGCCACGCTGCGTTGCATCGAACGGCCCCGGACGCCACAGAGGGAGCAGATGGCTTTTTTGTTAAATGTCGAGGTAGTATGTGCATTGTGTTATCGGTCGCGTTGTTTTTCAAGACTAA